CGGAGAAGCACAGTGCCGAGAACGGGGTGGGGGGGCATAAAAAGGACGCAGGTCCATGCAAGCCTTCCTGGCCCACAGCCCTGCAGGCTGCTCCAGGGACCAGAGCATCTGGATGGAAGCCCATCTTGTTCAGGGGCACAGGGTGTCATGCTCCTGGGGTGCCCCTGCACCTGCCATGTGGGGCAAGCATGAGAGGTAACCACAGAGCTCTGACTCCCCAGGGCCATTGTAACTCGCCCCGTGTCACCCCCCTCCCACCCCGCTGCCGCCGCCTGTCCCTGGCTCACCTGCTGTTTCCGGTTCGACTGTGACCTTTTGTGTCCTGTTGTCTCTCCACAGCAGCCTGGTCCCGGGTCTTGTCTGAGTGGCAGCTTTGACACGAGGGCCTGTAACCCATGTGCCCTTTCATTTCCCTGTTTCTTACCTAGAACAGTCTTAGCTCAACTATTGAGTCCAAATCTATCCCTTCCCCACAGGGGCAAGGATCAAAGCACCTCATACTGGCCACCAGCATTTACATGCTTAAATCCATCAGAGTTATTTTTTGTGTTTTTTGTTTTGTTTTGTTTTGTTTTTTTTTTTCAAGATTTAAGACTTTGCTGTTTCTCATGTGATAAAGATCAGAGTTTGGCAAAATTTTTCTGTAAGGTGGGAAAGAGTAAATATTTTAGACTTTGCAGTCCTGTATTTTCTGTGTGCACATTCTTGTCTTTCTTTTATAGCAACACTTAAAAATGTAAAAGCCCTTTTTAGTTCTGGCATTGCGTGTGGATGAGCTATGATTTGGGTTTGACTGACTGTAGAACATAGCTCTGATCACTGATTTTGACAGACAACACTTGGTGGCCCCCAGACTTGCATGGCCACCTACACCCACCCATCAGCAGTACCCACACCCCCATGGGGTATTCCAGCCATAATCGCCTCTGCTTTCCTCCAGCCCAACCTGCTCACGCTGAGCCCAGGGTCTTTGCACACGCAGCTCCTTCTGCAGAACTCAGCCCGCCCTCTTGGACAGCCGTACCGCCCTGACCACCCCAGGGAGCCCCAGCCTGCATCTCACCTGTTGCTTCCACTTCACAACTGTTCTCACAGTTGCCAGTTGGCACTTGCTGGGGTGTTACTGACCCTGCCCATTCTCCCCTGCTCAGTCCCAGGCCACCCCAGACCTTTGTACCTGCACCGTCACCTCCCAACACAGCACCCAAGCAACAAGGATCCCAGAAACACCATTTGCACGAGTGAGTGAGGGATGAACTCCTGGGACGAGGACAGGCCGCACGGAATGTGGGGGCTGCAGCAGGCCGCGTTCCTTTGCCGCCTTCACACTTTTCCAGAGCAACCTGGTTCTCAGACCTCAGGGTATTAAAAGGCAGAAAGAGAGGACACGAAAAGACAAATTTATGGTGACAAAAATCTCATTATAAAGTACATACATTATAGGGATGGTGCATATTTTATTTCCTAATGAAAGGTTTTTATTCTGAAAATGCTAATGAAGAAGCTGGAAAAAAGGTGTCATAACGGAAATCTTCAGCACTGTGATCATGCCCAAAAAGAAACTCTTTGTTTGAATTATATCCTTATTTTAATCTTCAAATGAGACGTGAGTGTGGTGGGGGGGACAGACAGCAGCTCTTCCCCTTGGGAGACCCCGGGAATCTGCTCGGTCCCCATGCCAGTCCCCAGCATGCCATCACCCACAGTGCAGGGCTTGGGGCTCCAGAAGCCCACAGTGCTCAGTGCCAGGGGACCCCGCCTTGCACCCTGCTGGAGCCTCTCTCTCACTCGCTGACTGCCTATGACTTCTTCCTTTCTTTCAAAATGCCTTCAGTTTCTCCAGAAGCAGACCCGAGTCAAGGAGGGGTGAGCAGGTGATTCACGGGGTGCTCAAGAGAAGCTGCCCAAGTCCAGGGAAAGAGGGACGGGGAGGGAGGTGCCGAGCTACCTCCACGCAGTGCAGGCCAGGTGACCTGCAGGCTACAGTCTAGGGCTGCGAGGGGCTCTGGAGCATGGGCAGCACCCCTGAGTCTGACCCACAGAGGGAAGGGAGCTGGGCTTTACCCCCAGACAGTGCCTGAGAGCTGCCTAGGGCTGTGAGTCTGGGCATCTTCGGCTCTGCACTGCGGGCAGGTGGCGCCGGGACAACTGGGGAGACAAGGCGGCCAGTTGAGACAGGAAAACTCAGAAGCCAGGAGTCAGGCGAGACATGGCGAAGGCTAATGGGGCCCCTGCCACCTCCCACTTGCTGCCCTGGGCCCTCGGGAGCCCTGTGGCTGTGTTCTCAGGGCAGGCTGGTCAGGTACCAGCTTAGCTCTGGCTCTACTTTTGTTTCCAGATATTTTGCCCAAGTCTTTTTCAGAGAACCATCTGGAAAAACTCCACGCAGGGATGGAGCCCACCTCCGCCCCACCATGCCCCAGCATGCCCGTCTCACTCACACACACGCTGGAACGCAAGAGCCTCTGTGGGTGCCACTGAGTGTGGGCTGATCACTGGCATGAATTTTGAGGTCCCACCATAACAGGTGGGCTTCCTTGTCCAGAAAAGAGAATGCGGGTGGTGTTGGGTGTGGTGCTGACTCTCAGCTGGCCTGGCCACAGCCCCGTCTGTTTCTCCTCTGCTCCCCCAGTGTCCAGCAGGCCTCTCCAGGATTCCAGCTGCCCCTCCCAGTCTGGTTTATGGGGCGTCATGGGGCTGAGACTAGCAGATGACCCTAAAGGCCAGCGCCCTGTCACAAAGTGTTCAAGTCTCTGGGCACAGACCCCTGTAGGGCACCCAGTCCCTGGGGCACATCTTGGCCTGTGCTGCACCCAAGGGCACATGGTACTCTTGGACCTTCTGGTCATCCTCTGTACCCTGGCCCACAGCGGCCAGTCCTCTGTACCCCGGCCCTTGTTGTTAGCCTCCCCCCCCCCACGTCTGCCTCCGTGAGACTGAGCTTCTGGTCTACAGGCTGGAAGTAAATAGCATGTATTGGCATGCTGGGAGGACTCCATGAAATGAGACTTAAAAAGCCCTTAAAACAGCACTTGGCACATGAAATGCTTGCTAAAGGTTAGTGGTTGCCTCAATCTGGGAGAGAGCTCCAGAATCCTAAAGTGACTTCTCCTTTTCCTTCAGAAAACGCTGTCCTGTGTTGCCCTCGAGATGGGTGAGCAGGCCCTGCAGGGTCCTCACTGTCTTTGTTCTTGGGTTTCAGACCTGGGTCTGAAGGGGAACTGACCCCACACCTCATTTCCGGAGAGGTGTTCTGTTTCCCTGGATCTCAGGGAGCAGGGCACTGTCCCAGAGCCACAGCGGTTCCTGTGCCCGAAGGAAGCCCTTTCTAGAAAAAAGACACTGGTCACAGGGGCCCCTTGTAAGAGAAAAGCACTGGGGGCCATGAAGCCCCCAGGCCCAGGAGATGGTCAGCAATAACCTGCCCAGCCCATGCCAGTAGCTCATCAAGATGTCCAGGGAGGCTGAGAGGCTGTTTCCTGGCCCCCTTTGGGTCGTCTCCCGACAAGCTGCCACTACTCACAAGAGGGGCAGGAAGAGGTCATCTCAGTGGGCAGCAACCAGACACATGAGACGGAGGGCCCAGGTTCCATGCCCAGGGCGCTGGGGTTTGGTGGACACAGCTGAGCCTCATGTGCCAGGCCTCGTCCCCTGCCCAGCCGTGCTTGGCCCCCCTGCCCCGAGGCACCCACAGCCATGCTCGCCTGTCCCAGCCCTAGTTCCCTGACTGGCTGGCCAGAGGAGGGGGGGCGGCCGGCAGGGCCTGGGACATTAGGCTGACCCAGACCGCTGCCTGGACCTGCTCGCAGGCTGCTCAGCCTGGTTCTCCTTCTTGGGTCCACCTGGGTCCCTGAGGATGCCGCCGGCATGTCTCCTAAGCCATCTGCTCTGAGACCACTAGGTACAGGACACCCCTGAGGCCACAGATGGCTACCTGGTCCAGCTCCGGCAGAGCTGGTGCACTGGCTTGCGATAGAGTCAGCTGAAGAAAGGGGGAGAAGGGGGGCAGGCAGAAAGGAAGGAGAGAGGAGGGGAGGGGAGAGGAGGAGAAGGAAGCAGGAGGACAGAGTGCACATGCCCGGCCGGAGCAAGCAGCGCCTCGCTCCTCTCCTCCTCCCTTCCTCCTCCTGCTTTCCTCCTTGACATCCACTCTGAGCCACTCTGATTCTGCCCCACACCTCACCCTGCCAAGGGAGGCCCGCCGTCCATCCCTCGGCTCCTCCGCGTCCACTGTGAGGCCTGAGGGGCGATGAAGACACAGGCTGGCTCCGTCCCTGTCCGGGCCCGCCTGGGCCCTGAGTGTCGGGCTGCAGACTCCATCTTCAGACCCGGGTCTGGCGGCTACAGGCGACTCTGGCCACTGGGCTCTGGGAGACTTTCCCAGCTGCCCATGGCCATCTCCCACTGCCCACCCCAGCTGAACCTTCCTCTGCAGGAGTGCAGACCCCATCTGCCTTTGCTCCCCTCCCCCCAGGTGAGAAGCAGTTTTACAAAAGCTAACCATGGAGAGGCAGAATGGCTGTCAGTTAACTCCGCTATCGTAACAGCTGCAGAAACCCTGGGCGCACTCCCGGGATTCGCTTCCAAGAAGCGGGAGGGCTTCTGGGAGAGCAGAGTGGCTGATAAGGAGTGGGCCCCACTACTCCCCTTTCCACACTGCTGTGGGGCCGGCTGTGCCCTGCACCCACCCCACAGCCTCCCTGCACATTCCTCCTGGTGCTGGAGACAAAGCCCCGCTTAGACACCTCTTAAATTCTGTGCCCCCACCCCCTTGATGGTGCTGGGAGAGAGGGACGTGTCCCCACTGGGGAAGTTCTTACTCAGCCCCACCCCGGGGGAAGCTGCAGGCTCTCAGGAGCGGGTCAGGGGCTGGACACTGGTCCAGCCTGTGGGCCCACATCACAGGGGGCTCTGGACTGATGTCTCTGGGGTTGACGGGCACAGGGAGCCCATGGCCGCAGCATGCCCCGTCCTCAATGTTGTTCCCCTCTCCTCTGCAGGGCAGATGGTGCGGCCGATGAGGTCATGCAGGTGGATGTGGCCGTGGAGGAGCCCGCAGACCCGCCGGCCACCCAGCTCGTCACGTGGCAGGTGGAGTATCCGGGTGACGTCACCTCTGACCTGGGCGTGTCCCGGATCTACGTGCGGCAGAAGGGCCTGCTCGGCGTCGTCCCGCTGGCCATGGTGAGGTGCCCCGTGTGGTCAGGACAGATGGGAGGCTCTGACGAGACCCCCACGCCATGCGAGACCCCCACGCCATGTGAGACCCCCATGCCACGGGGGAGCTGGGAGCCTGGAGCCAGGTTGGCTGCAGGCTGGGCCCTGTCTGTGGCAGGAAGCCACAAGGCTGAGGTGTCTTTTCATAGTAGGTGGACACGGGAGAGTTAGTGGTCAGTCTGTGTCACCCATGGGACTCATTCAAGGCCCAGGCGTGGCATCCGCGTGGGCAAGCTGTGCGGCTTCATAGGGAGGGTGATGGCTGAGCAGGGCCAAGCCCAGATGCCTCCAGTGGGGCCCAGGTGCTGGCTGCCGAGATGGTACCAGCAGGAGCGCAGAGCCCTGTTCCAGGCTTGCAGTCGGGGGATAGGGCTGTCAGCCTCTTTGTGTGTTTGCTGGGTGGGGGCCCAGACCCGACTTCTGTGTGTGTTTGAAACTTGGGCCTGCCCAGGTCCTCCCTCGGTGTGAACCTGGATGTTGCTGACTCGGGTGCAGCTTCCTCTGCCACGAGGGTCCTTTGCTATCAGAAGAGAGGTGCCAGGCTCCAGCACTAACGGTTTCCTCTTGGTGTCCAGGGGCTGCTTGGGTGGTGTCTGCTAGGGGCCAGCCAACAGATCCACCCCTTCATAGGCCAGGAAAAGTAAAGAGTGTAGGAAAAGTAAGATCAAACAAGGCCACCAGCGCCCCCCTGTCAAGAAGCCTCGTGACAATCCAAGATGATATTTCTTGTCACATCCAGTTGGCGAGGCTGAGTCATCGGGCCGTACCTCGCCGAAGGACGGCTGCGACATCTGTTTTCCGGCTTGGCACTGTGCTCAGACTGCGTTCCAAGAAACACAGGAGAGTAGATACTGCCAGGCATTGCGTGGTATTTGCAGACGGCTTCATGTGCATGGGGGGAAACCGAGGCAGGTGGCTCCCCAGGGCCTGCGCCTTGTGTTCCGTGCTAGTCCTGTGGCAGCCTGGGAAGCTGGGGACTTCACGGAGCCTCAGTGTCCACATCTGTCCAGGGAATGATGCTTGCATCATCAGCCTGCTCTTCAGGTTGTGCTGAGGATAAACACTGAGCAGGAGGGCCATTCCAGCCTGACATCCTGTCTGTGTCCACGGACACCAAGCATTGACAGCAGCGTGCAAAGTGGCCGCTGTCCCAGAGAAGGAGCTTGGTCCCAGGCTCATAGCCCTGATGTGAGGAGAACGAGACGGTGTGTCGAGGTTCTGGGTGGTGCTGTGGTGCTGGGAAGTTGTTGGGGGAAGGGGCTAAGAGTGCTGGGGGCTGTTGGAGAGGGGACTGAAGGGGGTTGGGGTGCTTGGGAAGGGAGCAGCCTGCATCTGGCCAGACTCTCAGTGGCTCCTAGTTCTGCCCCCAAATTTCCCACATTGAGAAACAGATGCCCCAAACAAACCCAAGATAGCTAAGAGGTTTTCTCTCATGAAATAGCCTATGTTCCGCTAAATCCACACACAGTGCCTAGAATACTAGCAGTAAAGGTCTTCAGCAAATAAGGCTTCCATGGAGACAGTGTCTGTGCAAGTTGCTAAGAGTTTGCTGTTGATTGGGGTCAGGCTTACAGGCCCCATTCTTTGTGGGGTGAGTAGCTTCTGTTTATGAAAGCTTTGAAATGAGGTGCAATGAACAGCTTACATTCAATTTTCCAAATGATCTTTTTTTGTTCTTCCTTGGTATTTCATATATTTTCCCTGATGTCTATGGCCTTAAACACTGTTTATTAATCTATCCCTGTGTTTCTACACATTTTACATTATGACTTTCTGTCCAGTGATGTCCAACATTATGATGCCTCCAGTGTCTTGCAGGTATGGGTGTTTTTGTCTGGAGGGAGAAAATCCTGAGAGTGGTCATTAGCTGTGAGTGGCTTCTCGCTGCATCTCAGCGTCTGATTCTGGGGAGGGTTTTGTGTGTCTTAGAAGTATGGAAACATGTCTTCAAAGTTTCCAGAATTCCAGAATTCTTCAGCATCTCTTTATCCATCTTTTTTTTTTTTTTAAGATTTACTTATTTATGCGTACAGAACTGAGGTACAGGTCAGAGATGGATGGGTGGTGAGAGGCTTCACCAGAGACAGAGTGGGGAGCAGAACAGGCAGATTGACGAAGTACACTGCTGAGGGGAGCAGGAGCAGGTCAGGAGAGGTCTGCCGCGCCATGTGGGTCACCTCTGGGTTGGGGATCGAACTCGCACTGAAGCAGCTGAGGCAGCTTGCAGTGCTGCATCCTAACCCATTGTGCCACCACGGAGGGCCCCTTTATCCATTTTTAACCATATACTTTTATTTTACTTTTTAAACTCTCTCAGCTTGATCGCGGTCATGTTGGCTGGTTGTGCCACAATGGTCTGGGGTGCTGGGTCACCCCTCTGCTGCTGTGTCACCACCCCCTCACCAGGCCCACACCTCCTCTGCCCCCAGCCCAGCTGCATTCTCAGTCGGATCCCAGGGCTGCGTTGGGCTCAGGCTGCCCCTCTGTCTCCCGCATGTACCTGGAGTCATCCTCGTAGCAGTGTCTCCTCGCCCATCTGCCTCCTGCGCTTCAGCTGAGCCAAGTACTCTGGGCTTTCCCCAGGATTCAGAGCTGACAACTCCACAACTCCGCTGTTTACCCATCTGAAAGCCATACAGCTGGTCTTTTGTAAATAAGACAAACCTCATTCCACCTGCTGGGCGCAGGCCTGTGGGCAGAGCGCAGAGCAGCATTCTGTCCTGAGCGTGGCGGACACGCCGCTCCCTCCTGGCCCCCTGCGTGAGGCTGGACAACAGAGCTGGGTTTGCCAGACTGGACCCCAGGACAAACAGCACCCCACCCCCCGCCACCCGAGAGGTCAGCAGAGGAGGGCATCACCCTCCGACTCGCCTCCAGCCCATGTGTCTCCATCTTCCCGGCCTCCATGGTCACACTTTCTCATTTTGGACGCAAAAGCAGACTGGTGGCTCTTTTATTTGATATTCATAACCAGCTGGTTCATTAACATGCCACAAACCCTCTGTTGTTTCACTCAGATGTTTTGAAAGTTTGGTCACACGCAGGCACATGCCTCCGCAGCTGGGCCGTCCCTCCTCAGCCAAGTGCACATTAAAATCTGCACCAGTCCTGGAGAGAAACCCCCTCTGAGGTGCAGCCTTGCATGTTTGTGAGGTGACCACTCTCCCCAGATGGCGCTCATGGCAATTTCCCCAACACCTGCACTTTATTCTGTGCCAGGTATGGCCCAGCTCCCCTCTACATCTTTAGCTGGCAAAGTGGGGACACACCGGCTGGGAGTGACCCTGCCCCACCGGTGGGGATGCTGGGTCGGGACTCAGTGCCAGCTGGACACTCCAGAGCCCACTGGCGCCCACCCCACCTCCCTCTCCAGGGAAAACAGAGTTTAGGCCATTGATCAGTTCAATATGCAAAAGGACCTTTGGAAAATGCAAATGTGGAAAGCACCTCATAAAAACAGGAAATTGGGACTTTGAGCACAAGAGGAGAAGTCATCTGAAAGAATGATTTATTCTGTGCAAGGCCACGGCTTCCTCATCACCTCGCACTGCCTTTGATGCTCCCTGACGAGCAGCCTTTTCGGCGATTTAAGACAAGCACTGAACCCCAGGCTTAGGGGGACCTGGGACTGAGCCGACACCGCCAGAGTGAGCCACTGAGGACAGCGAGAGCTTCTGTGGACAGAGGGCCCCAGGCAGCAACGCTGGGCTGCTGTCCACTCACTGCCAGAGCGGGAGGCAGTGACTGGGCCGGGCCACACAACTCCCAGCCGGTGTGTCCCCACTTTGCCAGCTAAAGATGTAGAGGGGAGCTAGAACATACCTGGCACAGAATAAAGACATCCACTCACCCGTGCAAACCCAATATGACTTCTGATCTATTTTTTTTTTAAGATTTATTTATTCATACAGAACTGGGGTACAGGCGAGAAGTGCAGGGGCATTGAGAGGATTCACCAGAGACAGAGTGGGGAGCAGAACAGGCCGACTGACGAAGTACACTGCTGAGGGGAGCAGCGGGCTGGTCAGAAGCGGTCTGCCACACTATGGGGGTCACCTCCGGGGCGGGGATCAAACCCACACTGAAGTGGCTGTGGCTGGCTTGCAGTGCTGCGTCCCAACCCATTGCACCACCAGGGAGGGCCCGCTTGTGATCTATTCTTAAAACAGGACTGACACCACAAAAGCCCATCTGGGGGGTGTGGGCAGTCAAACTAGAAGGACCACTTCAGAGGCTCCTTTGCTGCTTCAGATGAGAAGGGTGGGGGCGTGGACGAGAATGAAGAGGCAGACCACTGAAGACGTGGGAGGCCCCCAGGTGTGTCTCCAAAGTGTAGACCTCGGGACCGGCCCGTGGACAAGAGCAGGGGATCTCCCAAATGGGAGTCACCACACACGAGCCCCGGTTCCGTAGCACTGCTGTCTGACAGCAACTCCCCGAAGGGCTCAGCTGGCCACCCGGCATGGCGGCCAGCTGAGCTCTATTGCTGTGGCCAGTGTGACTGAGAACGGGGTTCCGTGACTTCCTGCATTTAATGTCAGAAGGCCGAGGTGTGAGGGGCTGTTGGCTCAGACGCACAGCTGAGGTCTTGGCTTGGGGAGCTGAGACTGCCCCTGCTCCGCCTTGGGTCCACCTGGCTTGGGACCCCACCCTTCTTCCCACCCACCTGGCCCTGGGCTCCTTTTCGTGAGGATTCCCTCAAATGGGCGGCCTGTCCACCAGCTTCTGGTTGGGGCCAGTCATTGGCGGGCACTGGCAGAAGACCAGCCAGAGGGCAGAGAGGAAGGTGGCCCAGGCTGCCCTTGGCTGGCTGCTCTTGAGAGAGCGCCACCTGCTGGCAGCCAACGTTGGGGCCAAGCGATGCCAGAGGGAGCATCCCAGGGTCTTGTGCGGTCTCCACAGCCCTGCCCACGTGGGTGACTGTAGATGACTGCATTGCTGGCCTTGCAGTGCAGTTTCTGCCCCAA